TTGGAAACCCTCTTTACAACATTGTCTGTATTTGTGGAGAACTTTGTTTCTTTTGAATGAATGAGTATCTTCATACCATCTCTGCCCCTCACCCTTGATATTGCCATATACAACTGACCATGAGTAAAAACTTGGCATTCAAGGTATAAATCGAACTGTGCTAGAGTTTGACCCTGACTTTTAATTATTGTCATCGCAAAGCATACCATCACAAGGAATTGTTTCCTCTGAAAATTGAATGATATTGTCGTATCTGATGGCGACAGTGGGATTTTAGGTATGTAATTAAACCTTATCTCCCATAGATTTTCCTATAATTACTTTGGCTTCTAACAAATGCTTTGCCAGTTTTGTACGACCAACCTCATTCCATTGCATAATCATGCTGCTTGATCAATATTTCTCAATAACATTATTGGTGCTCTGATTTTTAAATGGAGAACATGATTAGACAATCCAGACATTGATATGTTATTAAGAAACACATTTGTGTACATATCTGCATGGAAGAGATCTTCTCCCAACGATCAATGAGAGCATGTAGTTATTTATTTCATTGACAATGTCCATTGTAGGTGCAATGATCGCTCTTTCTTGTAGATATGCAGGATAACTGAATCTACTAAGGAAGTAAGGATATGTGCTATCAACTACCACTGAAAAGTTGAAAAGAGTGGATGAGATATCTAAATCGTCAATTTCTTTGACAATAGTAGAATTTGTAAAATTTAGACGATATTTATGTTGTGTCGCCAAATAGCGTCCACTATTAACCCCAACATAAAATTACAAATTTTGTAGCACTTGATTTTTTTTAAAGGTTGTAGCACTTGATTTCTTTCCTTTCTTTGGTAATTTAATGATCTCATTAATTTAATGGGTGAACTATTCAAAATATACAAAGTAATATACGTAGCATGACTGGGTAATCTATCCTTTGCACTCAATACAAATATTAAAATTTCAAAGTTGAACTTGAAATATCTTTAACTCATGGAAAAATGACTTAAGTCCATTTCATAGGAATTGAAACACTGCATACATATGAGTTAAAAATTGGTTTTCCATAAAAATATTTAATTTTGTTGAAACACATAGTGGGTAGAATATTCAAAATATGGACACATTATACTTATGAAACCAATTTCTTCCTTTCAATCTATTATTTGTTTTTTAACAATTATTTGATTTATTTCCCTTTCTTTAAGAATTTAATGATCTACTTAAATTAATGGGTAAAATATTTAAAATATGAAATGTAATATTAGTAGCATGGCAGGGTAATTATGTTATTTAACTCATTAAAAATGACTTAAGTAATTTCATATGAATGGAAATACTACATACATATGGGTTAAAAATTGGATTTCCAAAAAAAATATTTATTTATTTTTTAAAAAAAGGATTTCCATAAAAAAATGGGTTTTCATATGTATGTTGTTTAGTGGGTAAAAATATCTTTTAGCTTGTTTAACTCATATTTTAAATATTTTCCAATTATTTTAAAATTTGCTAGAAGAATAGTCTAAGTGGCTAATCGTGTAACATACTGGCAGATCTCTAAGTTTGGTAAGGCTGATTCTTTGAATGTAGTTAACAAAAGTATGTTTTTCTTACACGAATCGTTTCTAATTCTTTGAATTTAGTTTGATAAGGAGCGGAAAGGCTTGGTTGTTTCTTATACTAATAGTAACTCGTTTTCAATTTAATTTATAATTTATAATTTATCAAAGTTTTCATTTCAGTTGTGGAAGCCTGTAAGATAAGTAGCAAAACGAAGAAATTATGCCTATTCAATCTATCATCACTAGTTCTAACATAATAGATTTCCATACATTCAAATATAGAATGTTTTAGGACATATAGTGTATAATATATGTATGGTGAAATTATTATTTGTATTTGATATGAATTACTTTATATTTAATTTCTTCCCCTTTTAATACTATAATACTTTAATGATTCCATCAATTTTGGAATGTTCAAACGTAGTAACATATGGAATGTAACATAATTTACTTAGCATGCCTTAAGATTCTATTAATTGCAAAAAGGCCTAAATCAATTGAACTCAATAGCAATATTTAAATTTATTAATTGTACTCAATAGCAAATAAGTAAAAATTCAATTTCAATTTCAAGGTTCTACTTTATTAGTAAGTAAGTAGATGTTAAAAATGAGGTGGGGATTGGGGAATCCAATATAGGTGAAAAAAGTGGAACGCAATATCAAAATTCTCCCTAAAATAAAGCATATGCTTGTTGGCCTAATCCATATAAATTTATACTCCCTTGGTCGCTTTTTTTATATTTATACAAAAAAGTATAGATAATATGAAAATGATATCAAAATGATATTATAAAGTTACTACTTCTGTCCCAAAAAACTTTTTCATTTTCAAAACTTTGACCAATTATATATTTTTATTGGAAATTGTTTATCATATAAAAATTATATGAAAATATTCTGTGTTAAAAGCACTTTCATAAAAGTGTAGAATTTATATACTAATCAAATTCGTGGATCAAATTTTATGAAATGACAAAGTTTTTCAGGATGGGGTAGTATTTAATTGTACATAAATATATTAGTTAAAATAATTGGTCAAAGTTTATCAGGTTTGACTGGAAAAAGACAAAAATGGATAAATAAAACGGATAGAAGTAGTACTTCGTATTTGGTTGCATGCTTGATTAAATAGTTGTTATTTAAAATAGGTGAGAACTCCGGTACCCATTTAGAAAATGAAATACCGTATCTACCATTCACTTGATTAGTCCACACCATTATATCATTTTTAATTTAGATTTAAATAATTCAACTGCATCATTATGATTCGTCCATGTGAACAAATGTATGATACCTTAAGAGTACCATAGAATCTACCTTTAAAATAAGCTTTTTAATAGAGAGTATTACTTAAATACTAGGATAGATCACTACAAAAAAAATACAAGGATAGATTATGCCAAAACTTTGATATCAGCTATTCGCCGTATACTATCATAGTAATTGTTATTTAAGATTGAACACAATTATGATTAAGTTACCATAATTAGTGAGCATTGATTAATACCACGTGTATTTCGCTACAAAAAAAATCATGGGATAGGTACGGAGTTGGCACGGTTTTTTTTGAAAATTTTGTGCCAAATAGCTCATGCCAAACGGTTTTTGGCACAGATTTGGCAAATCCCTGTCAAAATTCCTGTCAAATTTAAAAAATTCTTGCCAAAAATCTCTGTCAATCCCGTATTTTTTTTGTAGTGTTTTTATATAATACAATGGATAATTTAAAGACACGTTTCAATGTTTGCAAAACGAACATACCTAGCTACGTTGCAGATTTAAAGTTTCTATGGTACCACTAAAATTGACTTAATTAGTTGAATTAAGAGTTAATTATCAAAATAGGACTAAAAGTCATTCACTTTGCACAAATAGGACCAAAAAATAAACTATGTTTCCATAGGACTAATTATGTGTGTCTTGGACAAATATACCCTTATACCTATTGGAATGTTTTAATTCATAATAAAATAATTAAAAATAATAAAAATTCGTAAAATATACCAAAAAATTAATAAAAATATTTTGAATAATAATAAATTTTAAAAAAAAAATTTAAAAAATAAAAATTAAAAAAAAATTAAAAAAAAAATAAAAAAAAAATTTTAAAAAAAATCAAAAAAATATTTTTTTTGTCACCGCCGCCTCTGCCGCCCCAGCACCACCACCTCTAGTCATTTGGGGAAAAAATGCCAAATTTATTATGAATTCCATATTTTTGGCATAATTCAGAATGATTTAAGATGGAAGAAAAAAAATGTTGGCATTCTCAAGGAGAAATATGCCATATTTTTGGCATTTTCCGAAAAAAATGGAAGTTTGTAGGAAATATGACTTTTTTTTAACGGTCGGAGGTGGTGGTGCAGGGAGGCGGTACCACCGCCTCCTGTCACCGGGGTAAAAAAATGCCAAAAAAATTATGAATGCCATATTTTTGGCAAAAGTCAAAAGGATTCAAGTTGGCAGAATGAAAATGTTGGCATTCTCATAGAGAAATATGCCATTTTTGTGGAATTTAAAAAAAAAAAGTGGCATTTTTTACACCGATCGGAGGTGGTGGTTCAGGGAGGTAGTACAGGCGGTGGGAAAGGTATCCATATATTTTTTAATTTTTTTAATGGAGTTTTACTATTTTTTATTAATTTTCAAAAAAAATAAAAAAATTAAAAAATTTTTTTTTTCTTATTTTTTATTTTATAAAAATTTTATTAATTTTTTTATTATTTTTCTATGAATTATTGAATTTTTTTCAAATTTATTATGAATTAAACATCTAATTATGACTTTTAACTATCTTTTACTAATATTTAAAGGAGGGGTAAGAATGGAAGGAAGAAATGAGTATGTTTCCAATAGGACCACTATGGTCCTATTTTGGAATAAAAAACATAGCAAGTCCTATTTTGAGTTTTTGCCATAGTTTTAGTCCTATTTGAAGTAATTTCTATTGAATTAAATCATGATCTTACCTTTTGAATGCCGAAGAAAAAGTAATTTTTTAATGCAAAAAGATTATATGAAAAAGTTAAAATAGTCATATTTTGCAAATTCAATCAATCCAACAAGAAGAGTGAGTTCATACCTAATTATTTTGATTATTGAACAATTCTACTTTCTACCTGATAAAACCAAAATGTGAGTTGTGTATAAAAATCTAACTTATACGGAGTATGATAAGTTTGGGGGTACCAAATTAAATGTGCTCTAATATACGGAGTATTTTTTTAAAAATGATGATATTCCATTGCATTTGAGAGAAATCAAACTCGAAACTTACCTCGTGTGACATTCCCCAGATTGAACTACGTCCACCGGTTCCTCTAATATATTTCTAATAATGATATGTGAGACTGGTCCTCATCCCGGTTGGACCCCATGATAAAACTTAGTCCTTCACAACAATCATAAAATTCGGAATGCCCTTTTTCTACCTACTGATAATTTACATGTGTACTAAAATACTGTCACCCCATTTGTTCACACTTATAGATCACTGATAGCTACAATAGGAGGTGAGAAGGGGTCATTGGGTAGTGGGCAGTGAAAAGGAAAGCCTAATAAGCTGCCCCTCTGTCATCTCTCCATATATCTAGCTTCATTTTCTCATTGCTGACCAGGAAACACACACACACATGCATGTAAATAACCTGGGATTCTCTAAATCCTGTTTGTCTGCCTGTCTTGCTTAAACTTGTTCTTAACATCAGATTTAATCATTTGTTTGTTTGGGAGACTGAGTTTTGTATTTTCCTCATGTTCCAAGAACTTAACAACCAAACACGCCACAAGTACCACAGTAGTACTATATTATTGGTGGTTTCAGATTGAGTTTTGTTGTTTCTGATCTGTAATCTTCTAGCTCCTCATCATTTAATTCAAGTCAAAGGCGGCCGCCATGTTTCCTACTGATCAAGAGCTCAGTGTATCTTCATCATCATGTCCTGTTTCCAGATTCCAAGATTTTGCCTCTTCTTTGAACCCCATGTTCCATGCCACCATCCCAAGCCATGATGAACAGCAAGCCCAGAAGATGATGAAGAAGAAGAGAAACCTTCCCGGGAATCCGGGTATGTTTAGAAATTAGAATCATACTCATACACTCTGGGTAAAATGATTTTTGGTTAGGTAGAACCCTAATTTTATCTGGCAAAGAGAATTGATAATTTAACCCAAAAAGCTTGAATTTATGTGAGCACTGTTCAAGTTAGGGATCTGCAAATCTTGTGAATTTATGGTACCATATCATATCCAAAGTATGAATATTGTACTCCGGTATTAAAATAATGTCCTTTTTTTAAAGAATTAAAATAATGTACTTAATTAACGAAATGCGATCAAAGTAGAGAATGCCAATAAAGTAAAAGTCTATGTGTTACAACTTATTATATTGTATATTATTGAAGTTAATATTGTTGCAACTTATAAAGGACACTTACATTTTCTTTTCTTAAAAATAAAATAACTGATCCTTCAATAATTGGAACAAATTAAATAAGAAGTTTTTCAAAAAAAAAACACTAAAATAAAATATATTTACAAATATGACTGAGGTTATTACTAGCACAATGTCATTATCACTTAATTATAAAAACTGAACATAAATTGTTATGACTAAAGTTACTATTTTAATCACAAGTATGTAATTATTTCATTAAATAATGGAGATATTTCGGATGTAGTTATATTTCTTCCCAAAATAAGACTTAGCTTACTTTGTCATCATAAAAAAATGTACTTCGAAAATTATGATGAATGAATCATATTTGGAAAGAAAAATAACAGCATTCCATTTATTTGAAAAAGCGTGTTACTTTTTATCCAATATAGAAAAGATTAACAAAAATAAATGATTGTTTGCACTTTATAAATTCAATAAAATATCCATGACATATTAATCATATCAATTCACTAGAACCCTAACTAATTCGAAATGTATACTTCCACACAAATCTAAATAGCCCAACACAAAAAAGACTAAATTTAATTTGCAACGGTCTATACTTTGTTTAGAACAATGCCAATCATGCATAAGATAATAACTTTCATTCTATTAAACTCTATCTCATGATCAATACAAATTAAATTAAATACGTGCATGCATGCATGCAGATCCAGAAGCAGAAGTGATAGCCTTATCCCCACACGCACTTCTAGCCACAAACCGGTTTGTTTGCGAGATATGCAACAAAGGGTTCCAGAGAGACCAAAACCTGCAACTCCACAGGAGAGGGCACAACCTGCCATGGAAGCTGAAGCAGAGGAGCAGCAAGGAGAACCGGAAGCGGGTTTACGTCTGCCCCGAACCGGCCTGCGTCCACCACCACCCTTCCCGGGCTCTCGGCGATCTCACCGGGATCAAGAAACACTACTGCCGGAAGCATGGGGAGAAGAAATGGAAGTGCCAGAAGTGCTCCAAATTCTATGCTGTCCAGTCTGATTGGAAGGCTCACTCTAAAACCTGCGGTACTAGGGAGTATAGATGTGACTGTGGAACCCTATTCTCCAGGTACCTATATACTCCATACCTGTGTTTCATCTTCTACCTAGCTTATTTTCTAGATAAATTTCTCCATATGTGATTAAAACACTCATTAATGCTTAAACATTAATATATGAGTAACAAACTTAATTAAACATGTATTTGTATGAGTAATAATTAAATTGAAGGGAGAAAATGTAGCATAAATAAAAACACATATCATACATGAAAAACACCATATATAAGTATAGGAATAAAATATAGTTGTCATATTTTACAAATCTTATTGTCTTTTAGTCATACTCTTAGTAATTCTCTCTATTTTTCATTTATAAGTTTTAAATACTCATTCCGTCTCATTTTATTTGTCCCACATTCTTTTTTCGGTTGTCCCAAAATAAGTGTCCCTTTTTTTGGAAAGAATTATGTAGTCTACATCAATTCGCTTTATTATATCCAAATCTCAATCACAATTTTTTCTTTTTCGACCACTTTAATTATAATTATTGTGTCAAATCAAAGTATGACACATAAAAGAGGATGAATGTAGTAACTATCTCCTTTTCTACTTCTCCTTTTGTACTTCATCCTCCATTTCATATCTCACCTGTTATCAATAATTTGAATTTCATGATTCATATTTATTATACATATAAGTCACTGCAAATCAACAACAAATTAAATCTGTCTGATTGATTGTAGAGGGCATACATAACCCACATTGTAATTACTATAAGTAAATTATAAAAACCTCTTCATATGAATTTAAATTACGTGCATTTAAGAATTCAGACTTTGAAAGTGCAGTGCTCTATATAATTATGACCCTTTGAAATGGATTGTTTTTATTAAAAATTGAGCTAATGAAGTCAAAGAGCGTTATTTTAAAACGTTTGCAGTGACATAGCTAAGGGTCTATACTAAAACTTGGTCCATCCCAAATTTAAAAAAAAAAACTATATACTAACATAGTACGAAGTATATTTTATGCGTAAAAATATCTTGATATTGGCCCAAGTATTACGGAGTATTTCACTTTAAGCAACCTACTTTAAACTTTTTAACTATGGCTTTCAGATATATAGGGAAATAAAATCAGTAAAATGATGATTGGTGGAGTTTGGTGCCCTTCAATTCCTTGTGGAACTGTTATTTAAAACCTTATTAATTAACTAGTTTCTAGCCAGTCCTGATCAATATAAAAAGTATTGTGTTAAGTGTTTTAATTTACATCGAATGTTCATACGGTTTAGGCAATGTATTATTTTAATAAAGCAAACATTATCATTTGGGATCCTTTTTCATTTTGGGTGAGTTATGTCTATTTTAAAACGTACGGAGTATAAGATTCCATTAGAGCATGTGATATATATATCTGTGGTTTAATTTGTTTGGCACCCAAAATTTGGGGCAAATTATTGTTTAGGATCAATTATTGAACTCCTTGGTCCACCCAACCTAGCTAGCTTGTTTAATTTACATTGAGAGTGTTACACACTTAAATTAAACCTATAGAACAATCACGAGTATCAAAACTGTATGTCTGTATATGACACACTTTAGGAATTCATTATTGGGTAGCTTTCAACTGTGAAAGTAGTGGGGTTTGTGGTAGAAAATGGCAAGTTTTCTATATTTCCTTTTCCCACTCCATTTTTGGTTTTATACTTTTATGTATGTGCTTCAGTATATGACAAAATCTTATATGGTTGTTATATATACACAAGAGTGGTAATCTGTGAGTGGGGATGTATGATGTCTGCTTTTTTGAATGTGATGGCAGATAGCATATATAGAGATAGCGTAATATCCTACTCTCACTCATCTTTAACTAACACAAATAACAATGAAATAAAAATTGTGTAGAATTTATTTAAGAATGATTCCAAATAGTGAGTGAAATAGAAGTAAACCGTACACCACATGTACAAACCAAAGTAATTACTCCGATTGTTTTATTTGCAAAATGGAACTTTTCTATTGGATTAATTAAGAGCATGAAGTTTGTGATAGGAGAAGTAGCTCAACCCATTATATATATATAGTGTTTTATTATTTTATATATCTTTTTGATTTACAGTTTTCCAGTGTGGGACAAATATTTCATCACGTCTCCTCAACCAGAACCTAATTCGGGCTGCACAATATGAGGATGTTTTATTATTTTACAGTTTTTCGGTGTGAGACAAATACTTCAGCACTCTTATATTTTAGAGAATAAAAATAATGACAATCATATTTGTACATTTTTCTACCCACTCCCTCTATTCTTATTATATTTGACCGTCACATATTCAATTCCTTTTTTAGATTTTATTATTATTATTTCTCACATTTTCATTTTTAGTAAGTGTTTTCATAAAATACCTTAATACTTATACTTTTATTATCTTTATTTTTCTTACTTCTTATAAACTACTTTCTCTTTCTATGATATCATTATAATTATTTTCCTCCTCTTTTTCTTTTTCACTTATTGTTAAAAGTTAAAACCCACAAAATACTTAATTAGTAGGGCACTTAAAGATAGATGAACGGAGAAAGTAAGTTTAACTTGTACTTGAGGAATTTTTTCTATTTGTTTAAGAGGGGAAATGATCGACATCAAAATTAATATATTTCCTTAAAGGGAAATAATAATGTTTTGATAATAAAAAAACTTAACTAAATAAAGTTGACAAATCGGTATATAAATATTGTTAAGTATTTGCATGCATAGATTTAATAAATAAACAGTAATTTTGAAGAGTAAAAAACAAAGTCATTTGTTCGATTCCAACATATACTCCGTATATAATTACGAGTAGTTTATTTGTCAACTTCACTATGCATATTTTGGTACTCCGTATCATTTAGTCTACTCACCGATTATCTTTGTGATATCCTTCATTTTTGTCCATTTCACAAGTTTATCTATCTCATACTACGTATCACATTTAGTAACCTTTTTTATGTCATCTTCTAAATGATTATATACGAGTATTTATTTTACTTTACAAATTAGATATCAACAGTATAATTTTATTGTAACAGTCTTGAATTGTTATTTTCATACATATCCTAATCTTAGCAGAAGTAGCTAGAATTAAATGGATATAAATTATCCTGGCTGGATGTTAATTAGCTGGTTCGGGCAAGCTAGCTTAGCTAGGTAGATGGTATATAGTCGGTGAGTATAAACTTCTGGGAATGGAATGATGGGGGCCAGGCGGGAATGGTCGTCTAAGAACCAATGATGGGTAGGGTTTCTTATCATGTCGATATACACAGCAAAAGATGCAAAGTTTGAGGACTTTTACGTGTACACTGATCGATCATCATCATCATGGTCTCAGAATCTCGAAGCTAACTTATTGCTTCGTTTTACACCTTTTTTCATGGAGTGTATGATTCAAACACGTACTCCACAAGATGTGATAATTGATCAAGTTGAATTCTATATCTCCATTTTTTGAATATAATTTCAAAATTACTCATGATCTGAAGATCTGGATGAAATAATGATCGAACATACTCAATCCCATATATATTTGAATTATATTTTAATTACGTAGTACTCCCTCTGTATCTAATTAGTTGGCTCATTTGTTTATGACAATTACTGTAAACTTTATAAAAAATAAGAGGTTTTTGGTACTGTAGTGGTACTATAGCCGCTTTTTGAGTGGAGTTCTTTTCAAAAAAGGAAAGGAGACAATTAATTTGATACATCAAAAAAGAAAAGTGTGACAATTAAATAGATACAGATGGAGTATAAGATAAAGAAAATATTGTATAAAATGGAAAATTTGATGATCCAATAACTTCACCAAAACTCAACAAAAAAACTAAATCCAACTTACTGATCATTTTAATTGACGCACAACCCAAATTAAAAGTTACGTATTTCATAAAAACATTAATTGATAGTTTTGATAAGCTAGATATAAGGGATCAAACAAGCTCATTATATGGTAAGTTTGCTACGACTTAGCCTCATTAAATTTTGTCAATTATTTTAGGTAGATTCTTTGGTACCCATAAGGTACCATACCTTTGTCCACATGGACCAATGAGAATGTAGCAGTTAAATTATTTAAATGTAAATTAAAAATGATAAAGTGACGTGGTCCAATCTGATAGGGACGGTACCCTATATTTTAGTTTATCTAAGTTTCACTTTTCATTTTGTGTTATATACTACGTAATAAATATGAATACTTCTAAATTAATCTTAATTTTCTGATTACTTTGTCTTTTTATTGCTAAACTAAAAGTATTTTCCCACATTTTTTGCTAAAAAGTAAACAAGCTGATTTTTGATAAATTATGTGAATTTTGTCCAATTCAAAATAATCCTATTTTTGTTCCCAAGTCCAGATGGGTGAATGAAGAAACTTTAGGAGATCAAGAAATGAAATTCCACCAGACCTGAAGGAGTTTAATTTCATAATTTGAAACCTAAGTACTCAACCAACATTTGTAATAGTTTAATTTTACTTAAAATGCGAAGTAGTCAATTTACATAGTGGCAATTTGTGTCCACCAAACAAGCCCTCGCGAGAACAAGTAAATTGAGAATAAGTGGTCCAAATTTGTGGACCTCCCTGTGGCCCCCGGTTTTAGGTCGGTTCACGTAAATAGCTTCTGATTTTATTTTATTTTATTTTATTTTATTTTATTTTATCGGTGAGAATTCTGGTACCTATTTAAAAAATAGTGTAGTGTACCTATCATTTATTTGATTGGTCCAAATTATTATATCGTTTTTATTTTAGATTTAAATAATTCAATTGTAATATTTCTATTAATTCATGTAGACAAATGTATGGTACCTTTTGATAACATATTATAATATTAGAATCTATCTACGGAGTATTTTATATGGTGATTTTGTCCACGTGACTAAAGTGAGAAACCACATTTCGTGAACGTACTTCTTAGACACGGGATATCTTGTTTTCTGGCCGACCTTCCACTTTAAGATTCCGTGGTGTATTAAAAAGAAAAATATAATTACACGTGTTTATTAATTGGATTAAATCTTCTAATCTGATTTGATTTTTTATATTCAGGTGTGGACTGGTCTGAATAGTTATGATATGTTATGCTAAAAATATGTTGTGTGCATATTTAATTACTATTTTAATTACTACGTACTACTATTTTTTTAAGTCCAATTCAACTTGATGTAATCTATTTAAATTTAATTTGATTTAGGGGCTTTTTTAGATGCGCTAAGACTTTTATTATAGTATCTGCTCTTTTCATTCAGAAACTTAAATCAATCTAATTAAAACATGACATATTCTCACTCCATATGTTATTCGAGACTTGAAGTATATAGTTTTTCATTTCACTTTTTTACGGCAGTTTAGTGCCATTGGTGAATTGGTGTGCGTGCTGAATTTGGTTCATTTTATTGAATAGAAATTGAATGTTTTTTTATCCATGCTTAAAGTGAGCTACCCATACCCACACAGGTCATCCAATCACTCATCATTTTAAGTGAAGTAAAATTGATTCACACTTGAAATGCATTTTTTATCCTTTCTTATTTGAGTAAGAGTCTCACTCCTATCTTTTAGCAGTCTGCAATTAAAATTCAATTTACCTGTTTCTGATTTAATTAAGTGGCACGAGCTGATGTTGTTGGGGTGTCATCCTTTTTTATTGTTAAAAATGGATTAAAATGTGGGTTAATCAATCAGTCATGAATGCAGGAAGGATAGCTTTATAACACACAGAGCATTCTGTGATGCTTTAGCTGAAGAAAGTGCCAGATTTTCTGCAAAGTCAATACTGCTCATGCACCGTCCAACCCACAACAATCATACTAACAATCCTCCCCAACAAATCCAACCCAGCTTCCACCTCAACCCTCTCTTCTCCACTCCGCAGCAGCGACACTTCCCAAACCCACCATCACCGCCGCCGCCGTCATCATCATCAACAGGCTTCTTGATGAGCATAGGCGGCGGTATCCCATGGGATCCACAACCACCCCACCACCTCTCTACTATGATCAAATCAGAGAGACTCAGCAGCGGCTGTGTTCCGGGAGCAGCCTTGCCGTACTTTCAAGAACCGGCAGCCCCTCCGATGGCGCCGTCCTCGTTCCTCTCGGCCACGGCGCTTCTACAGAAGGCAGCGAGCGTGGGGGCCACCACAGTGGATCACTTGAACTGCAACATGACCCAGCTGGGCAGTGTGGGGCCAGATGTGAACATGATGGAGAGGATGGCCCAAGAAGACTACCTGGGGTTCGACACGTGGCAGAAAGGGAACCCTTTGACCAGAGACTTTCTGGGGTTGACCAGCAACGATAATGTCGGGAGAGAGGACCACGATCACCGTCTGCTATCGTATGGAGAAGACGAGCTGTTCGCGAGCAGCAGCAGTAGCATAATGTATAACGCCAATAACAATGAGCGTGACAGCCATGCATTAGGCTTTGGTTTTGCCCCTGCTGATACAACCTCCGAAACATGGGGAAGCTGTTGAATTGATCCATGCACATTTCCACGTGGGCCCACACATTGGACAATTAATTATCAAATCATCATATATAGTAGTATATCATTTATATATATATATATATATAACTTAAATTTTATATATGTATGTATTTAACATTCTGATCTGTGTGCCTACTTAACATGCACAAGCTAGGAATTTGTTTAAATTCCTAGTTCCTAAATCTACTTCGTAAATACCAATTCAATCTCAAGGCTGTATTAATTTAATTTTTAATCTTGATTGAAGGTTTACTTTGTAGTTTCACAAGTGTATTGTTGACCTGCCAGGTCCGGGTTGACTCAAGGCCCAGTCACTTGGTCGGGTCATCAATTGCTTGTCCGGTTTTTACAACACGTCTTTACTTTCGTACAGACCTTTTTCGGAAATAAAATTATAAAACAACTAAATAATAAACATTATGGACCCTGCACATTTTCAAAGGGGAAGGAGAGGGGAAGGAGCTTCAATATCATGCAAAACAATTGTTACTACACGGATGACGCGCTTGAAGAGTGAAGAGAAACATATCCCAAAATGATCATATAAGAGTAGCTTACTTGCAAAGCCACAAATGTTGTATAAATCCTATACAATCTAACAATCTCAAAGAGCCAGAGTAGTTGAGTGTGGACCTATATACAGTGAGAAAACCACATGTTCAAGTACCGACTAAGAAAGGAAGGGTCAAATAGGCCCTTGAACTGACTTAAATTGTTCAATTAGCCCCTTATATAGGAAGTTCTGTCTGGCCGTCGCCAATTGGGACGGTTCCCGGTGGAATTTTTTATTGAAATTTTTTGAGCATGTTCTTCATTAAGTCTAGTTTACTCATACCAAATTTCAGCTAAAAATTCAACCGGGAAGACAGTCAAATGATTTTTTGAAGATAACTGCGAAGTTAAACAACGCAGTACATTTCGGAAAATCATTTGACTGCCTTCCCGGTTGAATTTTTAGCTGAAATTTGGTATGAGTAAACTAGACTTAATGAAGAATATGTTCAAAAAATTTATCAAAAAATTTCACCGGGAACCGGCCCAATTAGCGACAGCCGGGCAGAACTTCCTATATAAGGGGCTAATTGAACACTTTAAGTGAGTTCAAGGACCTATTTGACCCTTTAGCCACTAAGAAAAGATAGTTTCATCAGTGAATCCAATTTGATTTGAAGTATCAATCTGAATGTGGCGCCAGGTTTTACTTCATATAAGGAAAACTGGCAGCAGTGAATGTTTATCAGACTTGCCGTTGAGGTCCATCATTGAAATTAACTCCCAAATACTGGTCAAGCACATCTTTGAATGCCTGTTGTGAGAAATAAAGAAAGTAGCATTAAGTTTATAGACATAATATCCATGGGAGTGAAATCATGCCCCAATTACAAGACCAAGTCTGGTTTGTAAGCAAGCTGGCATATGGATTGACAACAAATCCGAGCCCAAGCTCACTTTTTTCCCATATAAATGAGTTGAGCTTGAGTCCTTAGCGAGCTAAATTGAGTTGATCTCGAGCCAAGCTGGTTTTGTATAAAAAACTACATGTACACTGCAATTGTATAGATCAAATGAGGCAGGATAGGTCACACAATATTGAAATTAATATTGTTAATTTTAAAGTGTTCTAAGGCACACTATCTGTCACAAATTCTTACAAGGTTATGAGAGAACTTTATGAAACAGTCAGAAAATGAAAATGAGAAGAACATTATAGGCGGAAGGCGGACTATTGAGTATTATATTGCTGCTATCCGGTCGCAAAAAGGCATAAACTTGCTTTGTACCGACACGTAACCAGACAAGGAGATGAAAGTAAAAGCATGAGTCACTAAGTGTGATTTAATTGTTTGCCAATACAAGTTAAATGTTCCTAAAATAGCAATATAAAATGGACGTGGCCAGATATCGAGCAGACATTTAAAATTAAATAACCAACTTCTATTACAGTTGCACCGAGGGATGTAAGCAGATAAATACAGAACCAAAAATGCAACTTTATATGCTGATATGAAAGCTAAATGGCCCCAAAAATAAGTACCTGACAGGCAAATGACTCTTTCCTATTTAAAAGTTTGTCCATCGCAGCAAACCGATCTTCAAACACACCATAGACAATCTGGTAGAAATGGTCCCTAAGAGCACCAAACTTATGTTAGACAATACAAACAAATAAAGATATTACTTCCAAAGGAAAAACTGAGATATAGGTACCTGCTGTCAACAGTCATAAGGTGGTCCACCTCTTCAAACTTACGAGTTAGTATTTCTGCTCCAATTGGTGACAATGCATGCAATACTAAGGCCTCCAGAGTCCTTGGGAAATTATGCTGGAAAAGCATTGAATTATTGTTTTTATTCAGTTGTAGGCAAGTGAAGGGAAAAGGTTAAACAACACATATAGGATAGAACATGATAGCCTCTCTTAGACCCATGAGATCCACACTAAATGCAAGTGAAATCAATACGATCAAGTTATTCTCGACTATTAAGGAAGATGATACAACAATGCAAAACAAAAAACAGAATAATGTATTTGTACTCTGCCTTCAAGCTGCTGAAGCGATAACAAGCATAATGAAATGAGACTCAAATAACCTCAATTCAAGCATTTAGAAACTTTTACCAACATGGTTATTTTCAAAAAGGAAAAAACGCTTCTATAACAATACATGATATTCAGGAAATCAAGTGGATGGGAGTTCTTTAGAGGTCTCAATTCAGTTCAGTTCGGCAAATAGCCTCTTTTAAACAGGAGGTATCTTTGCATCCATCAATTACCCCCACCCCCCAGAAAAACACTTCAAAAATCAAATAAATAAAGAGTTTCTGCTTGTGGAAACTGAAATTTAGAACCTATCAAGACTTCAATTTGGTACAACGGTCTGTAGACCATACACCCAAATAACAATGAAATGAAAAAAGAAGACCCGCCTATAAGACAAACTGCATGACCAAGAATGCATAAGATTACTTCGAGTGCTAATAGAAGTGAAAAGAAAGAACAAACTCACAGCCATTGCATAAAAAACATTCCTAAGAGTAATTGGATCAAGAGACCAAATAAGATTAGCAACTTGATCTTCTAGACAGTAACTTGAGTCCTCCTTTCTGATAGCCACTTGATCATTGCTTTCAATTCCTTGAGTGTCATTAGAACTGCACCCCACAGGTTGGCTTTGGTTGACATGGTCATGGACTAAAGAAACAAGTCGACGCAGAGACTGGAGTTCAAGGGACCCCAAATTGTGCAACATATTCTTTTGCTCTAGTCCAGCAGGATCGGTATCATCTAGCAAAAATAGCATGTAGTGTTAGCATCAATGAGTACTGCAGATACCGTAAAATATTCTCCTCTTTATATTATAAACAATAAATGATTTTGAAACAGCAATATCATCATTTTCATTTTCATTTACCCCAGTGCCACAAAGGCTCCCACCTACGGTGGGGTAAGGGGGGTCGGATGTACGCAGTCTTACCCCTGTACTAAAGCACAGAGAGACTGTTTCCGGATGACCCATAGTGAAAATCGCGTCCAAAATTGCATGGACTGACTGCTGCTTCATAACAAAGAAGCGCAGACAGTTTAGTGAGCCATTTTGCTTTATTCCATCATATTCTCAAGCCAAAAAATAATGAATCTTTGGTTCCATAACTTCCATTGCAAATGATGGAAAACGAAATTAAAATGTGTTTACCTCTATGTGCATTAGAAGGCAGGTCACTCGTAGTGGCTGCAAATTCATTCCCAGCTAGAGAATGTTGTTGCACTCTTTGGTCCTGCGTGATAAAAAAAATAATAAAATGAAACTCAGCTCATTAACATTGATATCTCATAGTCTCACACAACAGTTCTTTTCTAAGCTATCCTTGTGTTTACTGGGATTACAGGACCTTAAAAAATTAAATAAACAAACTAGATTCAACAGATTAACTACGATCAATTCATTTTCATTTTCATTTACCCAGTGCCGCAAAGGCTCCCACCTACGGTGGGGTAAGGGGGGGTCGGATGTACGCAGTCTTACCCCTGTACTAAAGCACAGAGAGACGGTTTCCGGATGACCCATAGTGAAAATCACGTCCAAAATTGCATGGACTAACTGCCGCATGGACCCATATGCTTAACTACGATAGTAAGATAAAATCCTTCACAGTGGTAGATTATGATTTAAGCAACTCACCAATTCTTTGTCAGTCAATCTTCACGTTTATGCAGCAGAGCAGAGAGACATCAAGGATAAATGATCAGTGTGTTATTCTTGATGTACATGAGAAGGAACCCAGAGAAGAAAAGTGCAAAAGAAAAGAAAGCATCTTTATACCTTTTCAATATTTTTCGCAAATAATATGCATCCATATGCTCCAACACACTAGACATTATTCCCGATTGCCACCAAAAGTTAACACCAATTGTTAAATCTTCACTGTCTACTTGGTGATACCTAGGTTAATGAAGAATAATAGTGATGTAAATTAATTCATTGCAACTGCAATGCTTCCAGGCTGAAAGAGGCTAAAGATAAATCAACGGAAATAATAATGCATGATATCGACAATTATGCAAAATCCACACACACAAGCACTAAACTCATTACAGCTGTAAAACTTTATTATTAAGGTGAAATCCGTATCCCACCTAACCAATTACTTGATATATGAAAAATGCTAGAAAGTCAGCCAAGATTAATTTATATACATGAAAATCACATCTAAACAAACGCCAGAACATCAATGCAGGCACTATGATACTATAAAAGTTTAATTTTGACATTAAATTTTAGATGCATAGCATATATGGGCTCGGAAGAAGAAACATTTCCGTAATAATAATAATAATAATAACAACAACAACAACAACAACAACAACAACATTATTAATAATAACTATAATCATAACTATAACAATAACAATAATCATAACTATGATAACAACAAGTCAACAACAACAACAATAATAAACAATTTGAAAATATATTATAAACAATTTGAAAGCATGCCAATTAATCAGTGTTTTCATATGTTTAGGGGCAGGCCAGCATAGAACTAATGGAGACAAAGGTGAAGATCTTCAGAGTGACGAGTGAATATAAATCAATAAGATAAGTAACTGTCAACGATTAAATTACCATCCTTCAGGGATGAAAAGTGCATCACCAGCTTGAAGAACAACTATCTGGGAATGCTCCTCCAAATATTTTGCCCTTGGGTACAGTGAGAGATCTGGGCTTCCTAACATTATAGCACTGGAAAAG